GCGGTGAGCCAAGATCGCGCCATTGCACTCAAGCCTGGGAAACAAGAGCAAAACTCCGTCATAAAAAAAAAAAAAAAAAAAAAAAAGAGAAATTGAAGAAACAACTCCTGCCATGAACTATTGGAAATCGAGCATTGGAAATTGCATAAATTGTAGGTAACATAAGGAAAGGAAGACAAATTGATAGCTACAAAACATTCTACAAATGGAGGGTACAAGAACCATGAAGATAGAATGGAGTGATGAACATGTAATATTAATAATAGTGTCTTAAAAGAGTTCAGTTGCTTCTAAATTGCCTGACTTCCCCAGTCTTGGCTTATTCTATGTATTGTGTACACCGAGTATTATCAGTTTTGTGATACTCATCCCCCATTATTGTTTATCCTTGGTCCTGGAGAGTTTGTCTGGATTCTAAAAGGACTGTTTTGTTAGTTTTAATTTGGAAAGGAGAGATTTATTTTTCATAAAGAGTTGCAGCCTGCAAGGTGGCCATTCTGACAGGTTGGGAAGCATAGCCTTCAGCCAGAAGCTAGAAACAGACACTTTAAGGGTGGGAAGAGGAAGACAGGGATTTATGCCCTACAAGATAGCCAGATGTACATATTCAATAAGCTATAGAAGGAGTAATGAATATGTATGAAAGGAGAAACATGCCGCATGTGCAGTTGAGCTTCATTCCCCTTCAGGGGACCCATGTTCAAAAAATGATGGCATTGGCCGGGAGCGGTGGCTCACGCCTATAATCCCAGCACTTTGGGAGGCTGAGGTGGGCAGATCGCCTGAGGTCAGGAGTTCGAGACCAGCTTGACCAACATGGAGAAACCTCATCTCTACTAAAAATACAAAATTAGCCAGGCATGGTGGCACATGCCTGTAATCCCAGCTACTCAGGAGGCGGGAGAATTGCTTGAACCTGGGAGGCAGAGATTGCAGTGAGCCACGATTGCGCCATTGCACTCCAGCCTGGGCAACAAGAGTGAAACTCCATCTCAAAAAAAGAAAAAAGGTGGCATAAGCATGATCTGTGGGGGAGTTCTCTGACATGAAAAGGTGAAGCAGAGAACAGGAAAACCTCAGTACACATCCTCCATAGACTGGCTAGAACCGCTGTATTAGCAGGAAGAACTGCTGCTCCTTTTTTTGTTCCAAATCTGTAGAAGGGAGGGACAGCAATCAGGCCATTGGTTGATATCAGCTGTGGAGCAAATCTTCCCAAAGGGTTGGTTTGTTTAACCCTTAAGAAAGAAAACCTAATGGTGGTCAGTGAGGGAGGGGGCTATGACCAGGTATATCTGGCCTCCCATTTTCAAGATTACTCTGGGGTCCCCTTGGCCAGGAAAGGGTCTGTTCAGTTGGTTGTGGGACTTATATTTCATTTTTATTTCTCATTTTCCCCCTTTTGGCTGAGATTTGCCAGAGAAAGCATTGATGGTCAAACTTATTTTGTCCCATATCGTTGCTGGAGTGGTGTGGCAAACCTCCCTGCCTCAATCCAGGCCCTCAGTGGGACTGCTGTGGCCAAAAGACTTACAGCCAATTAAATTTCCAGGCCAGATGGGAATGGAGCTGGGCAGGCACTCATCCACCCTAAAAGGGCTGTTCTTAACCAACTTTAGGGTAGATTGTTCAGAGGGGCCCAGATTTCAGCCCTCCTCAGTGGAATGATTAAAGGAGAAGAAAAGATGTACAGAAATGTTATAAGAGTACAGAAAATATTTTTGAGAGAAGGAGAGGCAATTTATATTGTTTCATTCAAGTGTTTTAAAATGTACCTTTCTTTATGCTTCCAGGCTGTTTTATGCTGTGGATGTTGCTGACGATATTTGGGAAGATGAGATTGAAGACTAGTTAACTACTGCTTCAGATATGGAAGTGGATTGGTTTTCCCTAATCTTTTGTCAAGTACACAAAGTAACTTTGCAGGATATTTAGGATACTATTCATTCATTCTTCCTATGTAGAAGTTATGGAAGAACAAGGTTTATATTTTCATGTGGTACTACTGAAGAAGGTGCATTCATACATTTTTAATGTAAGTTGAGAAAAATTATAAGCCAAAGGTTCAGAAAATGAAACTACAGAATATTATAATGTTCCCAAAGCTCTGAATAGTTAAAAATTAAATATTTATTTTCTTCCCCAAGCCTTAGGTAAGGAGAAGAGGGGTCAAGAGTTAAACTTAGAGACCCTTTGTCTCTGAGAAGCATCCTTCTAAGACATTCTGTTGGAGCTCCCTCAGTACTACTCCTTACAACTGGGGTGGGTAGAAGCCTTATGAAAATTATACTGAGAACCTGATCTCATTTAATCTACTCCATGTTAATCACATTCCTACCAATCTAAATTTCTGCCAAGTCAGTTCTCTTTAGAGGAAGTCCTTTACTCTGAAAATGACTGGATGGTCCAGTGTCATTTTGATCTTCTTTTCAGAATGGAAATTTATAATAATTTAAAAATATGTTTTAATACCACAAACACTGTGGGGCACTTGATATTTATTAGTAGTGTATATGGTCTACTGGTTTCAGGCCAAATCTAGAATTTAGTGATAACTGGCTCAGAAGAATTTTAGTTCTATTCAACTTTCCTGGGTGTTAGAGCCTAGATTCAAAATGACTTGTCTTTGCTACTTGTGTTCCACATTCTCCCTCATTACCTTTTCCCTACCTTCTGTTTGTAAGGACAATTTTAATATTCCAGAAGCACATGTTTTTGTTTCTTCTGCTGGAATAGGAGAAAGCTTAATATATTCCCAAGCTGAATGTTCTTGAATTATCTGCATTTACCACTGTACATGCGTATAATGACAGTATAACCTGTCTATACCACTGTAGTTCCAGTCCTAACTTTCTGGATTACTTTTAAAGATCTTCTCTAACAATCTATGGGAATTTGGCTTCATACTCTTTTTTTGCAGCAGCAGTGTTTGGGGTGATAATTTTGAATTGATACCTGTTCCTTTTTCTGGGTTTTGTTGGCTTTTTGAAAAATTGTCTTTTCTTATCGTTGGTGAGTGGCTAGGTAGCAAAGTAAAATTTTTTGGAAAAGAGGACAGAAAAATTGAACTGTAGCTTGACAATGTATTCTTTTTTTCCTACTTTGTCATTGAAAATTGAGCAATCACTTTTAACTGTTTTAGGTATGTGTGTCCAGAGTGAGCAAAGACTATGTTTTTGGATTGTCAAAGAGGATGCTTAATCTTAAAAATAAAAATAAATTTTAAGATTATCTTATAATTAGAACAGAGTTGCTGCTATTTGTTCTGTCACCAAGGCAACTAATCACATTTTAAAATTGTTCGGCATATTACATATTCTTAAGAAAAAGGTCACAGAATAGCATGTCTTTTACCTGGGCTTGTGACTGAGCTTAGGTTTTAGGGCCCATATTTTGTTTAAACCAGATAGTTTATGGTCTTCCATTCAGGACATTTTGTATAAAAATTGAGGTTAATTTAAAGAATAAATTGAAGATAAGAAATTAAAATGATTTGTTCTACAATATATACCTGAGAAGAGTGATTTCTGTGATCAAAGAGGAATTTAATTAAGATTTATTCAGAAAGAGCTACTCAGAAGCTCTATAGTTCGTGAGCTACTTGTTATTTTCTAGAGATCATTTTATTTTAAGCTGTTGTACGTTGTTGATGATGCCATGGAAGTAGGAAAGAAGCCTTTATAATATAGTTTTATGAAAGAAATGAAAGGCTTTTTTCCCATTTATGATAGTAAAAATACAACACAGGTGTCTGGTGTTTAGTCTCAAAAATTTGGTCACCTTAGTGATTCTCTCTTAGGTGCAAAGTCTTTATAACTCAATTTTAACAAAGAAAACAGGGCTTGTATTTTTGAAGCATGAGTTATGAGCTAATTTTAAGATGGTATAGTTTTGGTAGAGTACTTTTGTCTTAGTAAAATAAAAGATTTGGGTAACTCCCCAAATGCCTTGTAAAACAATTGGGTTTGTAGAAGGTTGCTGTGTCAGCAAAATATATGATAGAATAAAGAGTTTTGTACCTGCTTTAATTTCATGAAAGTCTTTTTTACCAGTGAGCTGAGATTTGCCATAAATTAGTATGAACCTCATGGGTCTTTTTTCTTTTGAGACAGGGCCTCTCTCTGTCACCCAGGCTGGAGTACAATAGTGTAATCATAGCTCACTGCAGCCTTGCTCTCCTGGTCTGAAGCAATCCTCTCACTTCAGCCTCCTGAGCAGCTGGGACTACAGGCACGTGCTACCACACCCAGCTACTTTGTTTGTTTGTTTGTTTTTTGTTTTAATGTTTAGTAGAAAAGAAGTCTCGCAAAAAAAAAAAAAAAACAAAAAAAAGAAGTCTCGCTATATTACCCAGGCTGATCTTAAACTCCTGAGTTCAAGTGATCCTCTGCCTTTGCCTGCCAAAGTGCTGGGATTACAGGCATGAGTCATGGTGCCTAGGCTCCTGGGTGTTTTGTGGGGGAGTTTGAAGAGTCAATGTCTCTTCATTTTTATGTAAAAAGTTTGGGTCTAGAGCTGATAAATGAAAATAAGCTACCAAGTAACTTTTTTTTTTTAAAGTCAAAATAGAAGCTCTGTGACATTTTAAGCTTGCGATCGAACTAACTTAAGGATCTGCCTCTGTCAATTGAGATGCATCTTGTTTCATCCATCTTTCTTTTAGTTTTAATTTTTATTAAGCTACCCTATTAACCATCTTTTTTATAAAAGACACTGTATTTTAGAATATAGATTTGCAGAAAAATTGCAAAGATTGTACAGCGTTCCCATGTACCCCATACTTGGTTTTCCTTATTAACATATTAGTGTGGCACATTTATCACATTAATGAAGCAGTATTGCTATTATTGAGTTCATACTTTTTTCGGATTTTCTTAGTTTTACCTAATGTCCTTTTTCTGTTCCAGGATCCCTTCTAGGATACCACATTATTAGATTTAGTCATTGTGTTCCCTTAGACCCCACTCAGCTGTCACAGTTTCTCATCTGTTTTTATTTTTATATAAACATTCATTAGACCTTGGTATAGCTGCATTGGGCAGGAGCCCAAAAAACTTTTAAAGACAGATAACTTAATCCTAGCAGGCTTAGCAAATCAATGATTTCTTTTTGACTGAGATCTTCTGTAGCTTTAAATTGGTTACTTCTCAGGATGTTCCAGTGCTGTATATGCAGTTTTAGGCTGTTCACCTGTTCTGGTAATTTTTCTGCTCAGCTTCTTGAGAAACATTAAACACTGAGCAAGTTGATCAAGTCAGGAAGTCAGCTGGACCCATTAGACTGTGCACTGGTGTGAGAATTAGCTTGCCATCTTGGCTAAATCCCAAAGCTTGTTGAGTAGATGTATTCCTTCCTGTTGACCTGTGGAGGAGCTGGTGAAGGTAAGAAAGGCTGAGAATCAGAAGAAGCCATATTCCCAGACAGACTTTTGGTGGTGTCAGCAGTCTTTTTTTTTTTTTTTTTTTTTTTTTTTTTTTTTTTTTTTTTTTTTTTTTTTTTTTTGAGACAGAGTCTTACTCTGTCACCTAGGCTGGAGTGCAATGGCATGATCTTGGCTCACTACAACCTCTGCCTCCCAGGTTCAAGAGATACTCCTGCCTCAGCCTCCTGAGTAACTGGGATTACAGGTGCCCTCCACTGCACTCAGCAAATTTCTTTTTTTTTTGTATGGGGTTTCACCATGTTGGCCAGGCTAGTTTCGAACTCCTGACTTCAAGTCATCCACCCGCCTTGGCCTCCCAAAGTGCTAGGATTAGAGGTGTGAGCCACCATGCCTGGCCCAAAGTCATTTGCCCAAAGTCTTCTTTTTTAGTCGTAGACAGTTCTAATTTACATTAGTAATCTCTTAATGTACTTAGTATTTATTTTTTCTGTCAAGAGTAATGAGAGTTAATTAGAGGAGATAATAATAAAGTTATTCATGTGGCTGTCTGCTTTGAAAGGGAATTTCAGAATTTTGACTGGAGTTTGGAACTCCCACCTAGTGTTAACTTTGCCAGCAGGTGGCAGAAGTTCCCATGTTATAAAAATATAGTCACTGGTGGTCTTGCCACGGTGCGCCAGAGCACAGTCTGAGTCTGAGGCAGAGGGACTCATGGCAAGACAGGCGTTTAGAGAGTTTCTTCTACTCTTTGACCGAGTATTGGTTGAAAAGAGTGCTGCTGAAACTGTAACCCACAGGAGACATCCTTCCAGAAAAATCTCAAGGAGAAGTGTTGCAAGCAACAGTAGTTGCTGTTGGATCGGGTTCTAAAGGAAAGGGTGGAGAGATTCAACCAGTTACCATCAAAGTTGGAGATAAAGTTCTTCTCCAAGAATGTGGAGGCGCCAAAGTAGTTCTAGATGACAAGGATTATTTCCGATTTAGAGATGGTGACATTCTTGGAAAGTATATAGACTGAAATAAGTCACTATTGAAATGGCGTCAACATGAAGCTACCCATTCCACTGAAGTTCTGAAATCTTTCATCATGTAAATAATTTCCATATCTCTCTTTTATAAAAACTAATGATAACTGATGAAAAAATATATAGTCACTGGTTAAGACAGGTAAGAGTATGTTGTTTTGTTTTAGAAGTAGATGTAACTTCTGGTATTTAAATTTTTCTCATATTTCAGTATAGTCTGTTTTATACTATAGTAGACAGAATGGTATCTAACAATGCTAGCAAGGCAGGAAGAGCAGTATTATCTGAAATTTTTAAATACTTAAAAGTGTACATGAACCACAGTTGACATGCAGTTGTTACATAGCAGAGTGTCATTCCTGATAGTGGCACTTACCTTCAGCCACCAAAGTAGGGAAATGAAGTTGTATATGAAATTCCTAAGTAGGACCTAGGAATTTTAACATCATGGTCCCCTTTGATGCTGGTAAGAGGAGCCAGCCTGCTCCCCAAACCTTATCTTAACTAAAAAAAATCAGGCCAGACTGAGTGTGGTCAGAAATCTGGCTATGGGAGCTTTAGGGGTATTCTTAACAAATGTTGATGGTAATAATCAACTTTCAGCACCCATCGTGTAGACTGTACAGTTTCTCAGGTTGTCTGAAGATTTACCACTCCAAGGATTCCCACATTTTTCCGAGCCAGAGGATGCTTTGGAGAAGATTGTGTACACTGGAAACTTAGGGAGATTTGATGCTGAAGTTGCTAAGTACAAAGTCAACATAGTCACTTCTTTACCTTGCTTGTATCTCTTTTTCCCTTCATTATAAAAATGAAAAAAAGAAAAACAACTAAACTTACACTAATACAACATAAATACATGTAAATTTTAAAAGCAATTGTGGGTCTTACCCTCAATCTCATTCTACTTTTTGCAACCTATAGTATTGCCTAGAATAACTCACTTATTTAACAAATATTGATGGAATACCCTGCAATGGGCCTTACTCTTTTTCAAGGTGGTGAGAATGTAGCAGTAAATAAAACAGACATAATCTCCCTGCCCGTGGAACTTAAATTCTGACAGAAGGAAAGAGACACTAAGTAAATTATCTGATTCATCAGAAGATAAGTGCCATGGGGCCGTGCGCAGTGGCTCATGCCTGTAGTCCTAGTGCTTTGGGAGGCTGAAGTGAGAGGATCGCCTGAAGCCAGGAGTTTTGAGACCAGTCTGGGCAACAAAGCAAGACCCTGTCTTTTAAAGAAACAAAACAAAACAAAACAAAAACCTAAAAATTAGCTGGCTGCAGTGGTATGTGCCTGTAGTCCCAGCTGACCCTCAGGATGCTAAGGCAGGAGGATTTCTTGAGCTCAGGCAGTCAAGGCTGGCAGTGAGCCTTGATCACACCACTGCACTCTAGCCTGAATGACAAAGCAAGACCTTTGTCTCAAAAAAAAAAAAAAAAAAAAGTCATAGAAGTTGGGGAGAAGAAATACAGAGTTAGGGGAGGCAGGGCAATGTTGGAATCTATTTATAGAGAAGACTCCATTAAGATAGCACTTGAACAAAGGCTGGGCAGTGTGAAATTGAACCTTCTGGACACCTGGGAGGAGAGAGTTCCAGGCAGAGACAGCATGGGCAAAGCCCTTGGGATATGAGCATGTAAGCGGGCTCTAGGAACAGTGTGGTAGCCAGTCAGGGCTGAAGCAAACCAAGGAAGAGTGAGAGATGGGATATGAGCAGGTGGTGCTGTAGACTATACAGAGCCTTGTGTGAACTTTGGCTGCCACTCTGAGATGGGGGGCATTGAGCAGAGGAGTGATAGGGTCTGGCTTGTGTCTTAGGTGAATGGTGAGCAAAGGTGGAAAGAAACCAATTAGGAGGCCATTTACAGTGGCTCAGGCGAAAAGTGCAGTTGGCTTTTACCAGGGTGCCAGAAGTTAAAATCTTGAGAATTGATTAGATTCTGTACTTATCTCGAAGGTAAAACTAATAGGAGTTGTTGATAGGCTTGATGTATAATGTGAGAAAATAATGCATCAGGGTTGATTTCTAGGTATTTTTGAGCAGTTGAGATGAGAAACCTGTAGGTAGCACAGGTTTGTGGCTGAATATCAGGAATCTGGTTGTGGACAGGTAAATTTGAGATGCCTGGTAGTTATCCCAGGGGAGATGACAGATAGGCAGCAGGATATTCTAGTCCAGAGTTGAAGGGAGCGACTCAGGCTGGAGATAGAATTGTGGGAGTCAACATGTAAATGGTATTCAAAGCCATGAGACGAGATGAGATCACTAAGGGAGTGAGTTACATGTAGAGAAAGGCCCAAGGACTGAGTATTGGTCACTCCAGATGCTAAGAGGTCAAAGAGATGAGGAAGAACCAGCAAAGACAGACAGTGGCCAGTAAGGTAAGAAAACCAGCCGTGTGTGGTGTCTTGGAAACCAAGTCAAGTTTAAGGGAAGGAGTAATCAGCTGTGTCATACACCGCAAAAAGGTCAAGTACTGTGAGCTGTAACAATTGTAGCAGTCAGTATTGAGGTCCCTGGGACTTTGACAAGTGCTGTATCATTGGAGGGCAGTTGCAAATCTGGAATGTGTTTGAGAAAGAATGGGGTGTCCTCATAATAAGAAA